ACAATGTTCTAATCTTCTGGTTAAACTTGAGAATGGCTATTGATTGGGCTGAAAACGTTAGTTTGGCTTTAATAAATTATCTTGGCAACATAAGGTATATTTTGATGGTCTAATAGTAATTCGCTGAGTGTGTTCTGTTAATCATATATGGCAGGGGTGGCCAACCTGCGGCTCGCGAGCCGCATGCAGCTCTTTGAATGATTATTTGTGGCTCTCGATAAATGTACCCAAGTTCCCTTTTCATTTTTGTGTTATTATATTTTAAAAAATTATTATTATTTCGTATGTGTTTCAAAATGTCTTTTAAATTACTAACAACAAATATGAAAGACTAAGTGCAACGTTGTAACAAATTTCATTTCCGTCCAAGTTAAGAATGATATGACTCATCGAAAACTGCGCGAACGAACATAAACAGTGGCGTAATCGTCCGTTATCGACCGACTCCAGACCGATTTTGAATTTGTAAACTGTCATTGCAATGGACAGCTGACATTGTGCTCTGGAAGAAACAATTTGTATCACTCTTGCTACGGATATAATTTGTAATCTGGAATTTTTTGCATACCTTTTTAATACATATTTAATTGCGGCTCGCGAAAAATTTCAAATTTTGAAAAATGGCTCGGACTATCAAGAAGCTTGGCCACCCCTGATATATGGTTTGTTTTTACATCTGTTGTTTTCATATGTTTATTTAATCTTATCATATTTTAATTTTATATTATTTTTATTTTTACTTTATTTTATTTCTAATTTTTAAAAACATTAACTAAAATAAACAATATATAGTACACTGTTAGATAAGTCTCTCTGATTTTTCAAATGTACAATGCTTGTTCCAAGCCTGTATAATGTTGTAATCTGATGATGGGAGATGATATCCCAAAAAAAGGTTCAGAATTAAATAATCTGTTGGAACCCTTAAAAACTTGTTTTCATGTTAATGAATTTCAGTTTATAACATGGAGTTGATCATCATAAAGGATTAGAGAAAGCTGTTTTTAAATTTAAAAATAACAAATGAACTTTATTATTTATTTTAAATACTTAAATACTATTTTAAATATTTGTATCAACTGGATTTTCATATCTTATACTAACAATAAGTAAAAAGAGGATTAATTTCAAACATTGAGTTACTAATGTTAATTGTTATACTGTCATTGTAATCGTATTTACAGGAGCAGTTTTTTTCATGTAATTAACTTATTTTTGCATAGTCATTTCATTTTCAAACAAAACTTAGTCAGTGCAATGAGATTGTATTTGGTCAATATTAACTCGGTCTACTTTAGGGATAGTGTTGCCACCAGGCTGGTTTTTACCTGGACAAGCCAGTTTTTAAATTCATGGTCTGGATTAATTAATTTGTCCAGTTTTATAGAAATTGTGAAATTATGATGAAACAAAATACTTGCAAATATTTTTATAAATTTATTTTATTTTAAAAGTTAAAGCCTTTATCTTCACACCTTCACCCAAACTTATCCCTAGGCTAAGAGTGACAGAAAGTGTAATTTTAAAATTCTAACTTCTTGCAAATATCTCTGGCAAATATTAAGTTTATTCCAACACAAGTCCCGAACTGGTTTAAAACTGGCATGTGCATTGTTCAGTCCATATCACGTTCTTTAAGTATCCATTATTATAATCGGGATACTTCTTGTCGTAGATACACAAATACTTTCGGATGTTTTTGATAAATCTTTCTGGATCTATTCTAGAGTAGCCACGAGGAAACGTACACAAAAGCTTATTTTTCACCATTTAAGCACTGTGTCGCAATGACCTAGATTTCACTGACTTCTGATTGGTGGATGGTACTGTTTTATGGTCGTATTTGCGTCAAAAGTCAAACACTGCTCAACTCACTTTTACGCTGGTTTTACAACTTACTTGGGTGTAAAATATCAGGGTCATGTGATTAAAAGCTTTTACGGCAAGGGGTTTTACGCCCGTTTTTATGCTAGTGGAGTCTTGGCCTTAGAAGTAATAAATGAGAAATTCCTGAAAAATTTAAAAATTCTAAATCATGCGCTGTTGGTACTTCAATATTTTGTTTGGACGGCAATAAGACATTGGTTTCGTACAAAGCCAAGTCAAATAAAGTTGTTTATGTTTTGCTAACTATTCATGATCAACTTAACATTGATGAAAATACAGGAGAACCACAAATAATACATTTTTATAATAGTACAAAGAGTGCAGTAGACACAGTAGATCAAATGTGTTCAAATATGAGTAATAACAGAAAAACCAAAAAATGGCCACTATACGTGCTTTATAATATGCTAAACCTATTGGCAATCAACAGCTATCTATGTCTCTAATTACGTTAGAAAAAAAAAAAAAAATGGATGTCCCGGCGGGATTTCTTTATGAAGATGGGCGACAAACTCATAGAGCCCAGGCTACGACAGCAGTTATAGACAGTGCCTTTGAGGCATGATATCAGAACCATGATACAGGATATTCTAAGTGATGTGCCCAGTGTAGAAGCTCCTCTGAAATGCAGTCTCTGACGAGTTATAATTGGGCAACGCCGGCCAAGAAGCTCTTGTGTCGAATCCGCATAAAATATGCTATTTATGTCCATCGAAAACTTGACAAATGACAAAACACTATTGCTTGAAATGCAAAAATGCGATTTGTGGCTCCCATAATGCTAACATATGTAGCAACTGCGTGTAATCTTATTTCCTAAATATTTTGCCCTTATTTGGTTCCTATTTACCCATACTATTGTGCCATGTAACAAGTTCTTATTTTTATTAAACAATTTTGTTGATATTAACATTTTTTAATGCGTAGTCTGCTCGATGAATGTGTAGTTATAATGTAACTGAAAATTAAGTTTAGTTATCTAGGGTTAAAAAAATGCATTTTGGACTTGTATCATCCCTTTTCAGTTGCTTTAGATAATGACTCGTTTGTATAATTACAATAATCACTAAAATCCATCAAAAATTTACTTTATTAGAAGAAAATGAATGTAGACAAGACTTCAATTTAAAATGTCATTGTCAGGTTTACTTGGAGTTTAATTAATATAACTTTGAAGATAAAATACAATTCGAAAGTAAAAAACATGGCATTATTCATTGGAATCTAATACATCATACTTAACATAACCGTATTTTGATGGTATATAAATGTGTTGGAGAAAATCTCCTCTCTGTGGTTTTTTAAAATTTCTTTTTAGAGCTCCATTAAACTTGCTTGGAACTTGAACTTTGAATCCCAAGACAATCCAGAAAACAGTCTCCATTGAAGTAAAAATATGTATGACTATTAAATTCACAGATCATCCCTCCTGCCCTCCCTTACTTTCTCAATAATCACCCAGGTTACAGAGAGTTTACTTTTGTTTACACAATTGCTCTTTTCAAGGAAAAACAATATATTATAACTGATAAAACTGATTCAGCATAAGTACTTGCATGTATAGCAAAATTACCACAGAACTATCTCATTCAGGTTACCCTAAAATAGGCACAGTTAGTATTGATAAAGTGCAATCTTTCATTGTTCAGACTATACTTTTATTTCCATCATACAAATATTACAATGGCATACAACTTATCACACTAATAAGAAAAGACTTCAACTTAAAATATACTAGTGACAAATGAATTGTCTAATAAAGAAAATACATCCATTGAGTTTGAAAAGACTTCTTTAGCTAAATTATATTTACTGTAAGATAATCATTTGTTTTTAGATTAAATAGGAAACAAAACAGTTGTATAGTACAGTTGTATATATGCAATATAGACATTCTATATTGCAACATATTTTGTACTAGAGGGTATCAGGTTACTGGATTTTTTATGTATGTATAGTACATACATACTAGTGATGTGCCGGATATCCATATCCGTGGATATCTGAGGGGAAAAAAAGATCCATATTTGTATCTGTTACTTTTTAGTGGATATTTAACGGATCTTTTATCTTAATGAATTTCATTACTTATATGAAATTTTAAAGATAGATAGCAATAAAATACTAATAACTTCAATTCAAATCACTTTTTATTTCTTAAAATCACATATTTGGCACATTCATATTGCAAAAATTTTATCAGGCAAAATTTATTTACTATCGTAAAATATTTCCATATTACACTACTAAACATTTTTGTCTGCATTGTTTTTATTTTAATTTAACTCAACACTCTCCAAAGATACAAACGTAATCTATGCTATCCATGTCAAACTAAACTATAAACAAAAACACGTCATGTTACTAATGCAAAGCGTCAACTATCGGTCCAAGGTCACAAGCACTGGCGCCGACTAAGTACGAAGGTTGAGAGTCGTATCTGTATCCGTGGATGTACATTTTTTACAATCTGGCACATAACTAATACATACAAAACATATTGTACAGTAGTAAAAAATGCTCTGATTTATAGGTTAGTTTATCATATTAATCATAGTTTTGACTGTTTTACCATTTTCATATACAACAAGTGACTGACAGTACACACAGTACATCAGTCTCTCTGTCACATACATTGACATGTGGCAACACAAACATTTCATGTGTGCCATCCTGCAAAGTGTTGGATTATTGGACATGTCAGTCTGGTGAGTGATGGACTGTACAGATTTCTGTATTTTGAGAAATTACAAAAATCGTTATTGTATTTAAAAAAAATTGCTTATGTATAGATGTGGAATTAGTTTGTTGTTCATTAAAAAACTTTACAATATTTAATTAGTTTTCTATTAACTATTGCAATACATTTCTTATATTTATGAAAATATGTGTATTGTGGTCTTGTATGTGTGGGTGTAATATGTAAGTTTTTAAGTACAAATATGTGTGTAATAGTTAATACTTGCATTTTTCATTTTTATAACTGTACACTATGTATAATTTTTTAGAAATAAAGAAGAGAATCTCTGAATAAGATTAACATTATTGTATATTTAATATAGTTAAATACTAATACACAAAAATTGGTATAAATCACAATATTTTCTATTTAGGAAATGATTTATTAGAAAATGCCTAATGGAGCAACCACTACTAAATAAATATATGATGGTATGTGAATACTTTATTATATCTCATATTTTTTAAAATGTGAATTCTTGCTACTAATTAAAAATTATTTATTAAATGTTCCAAATAATTTTATCTGTTTATAAAATAACTGACAATTATCCAGTATTACAAACTTTTTATATATGTTGTTCTTTAAATTTAAACTTTTCTAAAATATTTTCAGAGAACTTTATGCTTCAGTTATAGTAATTTACTACTAGAAGAAAATTAGATTTAAAATTTTGCATATTCTCTAGACAAATTTCAATATTATTTTTTAACATTTCAAGTATTGTCATATTGTAATAATTTTAACAAATTTTATTATATTTTTTGTATCTTTTATTCTTCCTTTTATTCTAAAGGCAATTCATGTGCTTATTTTATTTGAATATAATACTGGAATACCTTGCTCTGTATCATGTAATTTAGTGTAGGACTTACTGTAATGCAGTTTATAATGTACACTAGAGCAGGGCTTCTTAAACTTTTTTTATTCATGACCCCATTTATGATTGTGATTTTTTTCGCGACCCAAAAATATAAAATAAAGATATATACAAATTTGCAAAAACAATAATGGTGTGCTACCACAGTCCATTCTTGTGTTACAATGGAACAGAGACAACTAAATACAGTGAAAAGCGACAACACTATACTAGTTCACACTACAATCAGGATTGCTGAATCATTGTCTTGCTGCACCAGAAGTGACACAAACCGCAACTCACGAAACCTATGACACAAAGCATGCCTCACTTTCAAACTCATTTTCAAACTCTCACAAATTATTTTCAATATTTTGCATTAAAATCTCGTGACCCCAAGATTTCGCTAAGTGACCCCAAATGGGGTCGCAACCCATAGTTTAAGAAGCCCTGCACTAGAGCAATGATTCTCATTTATTTGATCTATGGACCACTTACACCGAATCACAGATGAACCATGAACCACAATCTATCCTATAAATGTCATCTTAGATGTGTCATAATATTTTCTCTCTTCAGTAATTCTGATATACAAAAATCTCCTTTCTTCTCACCAAACACTTGCATTTTTGAAAACCACCTGACACGTGCTTTGCCTGGAGTGAATCATACTTTGAGAACCATCAGCACTAGAGGATTGATTCAATTAATGCACAGTGATTCCCTATAGTGCAATTCCTGCCAGTTTAATATGTATAAAAGAATTTATAATTTGATTTAAAATTAAATTTTAATAAAGCATTGTACAAGTGTGATTTACTTTTTATTGCTAACTTACTTCATTTTAAATGCACTGTTAACTTAAATTGCAAATCCTATTAGATATTCCAAATTTAAGAAACACTCAGAATTTATAAGGCTAGTAAGAAATAGACCACAATTAGCTTGATTCTGCAGTCATGTCACATGCTTGGAGAGCATTATTTGAAGTTTTATAATTTTGTTTATCATCATTTTGCTATATTTATGTTTTTACTCACAATATTTGTGTATATAGCTGTATTTNAAACTTTACAATATTTAATTAGTTTTCTATTAACTATTGCAATACATTTCTTATATTTATGAAAATATGTGTATTGTGGTCTTGTATGTGTGGGTGTAATATGTAAGTTTTTAAGTACAAATATGTGTGTAATAGTTAATGCTTGCATTTTTCATTTTTATAACTGTACACTATGTATAATTTTTTAGAAATAAAGAAGAGAATCTCTGAATAAGATTAACATTATTGTATATTTAATATAGTTAAATACTAATACACAAAAATTGGTATAAATCACAATATTTTCTATTTAGGAAATGATTTATTAGAAAATGCCTAATGGAGCAACCACTACTAAATAAATATATGATGGTATGTGAATACTTTATTATATCTCATATTTTTTAAAATGTGAATTCTTGCTACTAATTAAAAATTATTTATTAAATGTTCCAAATAATTTTATCTGTTTATAAAATAACTGACAATTATCCAGTATTACAAACTTTTTATATATGTTGTTCTTTAAATTTAAACTTTTCTAAAATATTTTCAGAGAACTTTATGCTTCAGTTATAGTAATTTACTACTAGAAGAAAATTAGATTTAAAATTTTTGCATATTCTCTAGACAAATTTCAATATTATTTTTTAACATTTCAAGTATTGTCATATTGTAATAATTTTAACAAATTTTATTGTATTTTTTGTATCTTTTATTCTTCCTTTTATTCTAAAGGCAATTCATGTGCTTATTTTATTTGAATATAATACTGGAATACCTTGCTCTGTATCATGTAATTTAGTGTAGGACTTACTGTAATGCAGTTTATAATGTACACTAGAGCAGGGCTTCTTAAACTTTTTTTATTCATGACCCCATTTATGATTGTGATTTTTTTCGCGACCCAAAAATATAAAATAAAGATATATACAAATTTGCAAAAACAATAATGGTGTGCTACCACAGTCCATTCTTGTGTTACAATGGAACAGAGACAACTAAATACACTGAAAAGCGACAACACTATACTAGTTCACACTACAATCAGGATTGCTGAATCATTGTCTCGCTGCACCAGAAGTGACACAAACCGCAACTCACGAAACCTATGACACAAAGCATGCCTCACTTTCAAACTCATTTTCAAACTCTCACAAATTATTTTCAATATTTTGCATTAAAATCTCGTGACCCCAAGATTTCGCTAAGTGACCCCAAATGGGGTCGCAACCCATAGTTTAAGAAGCCCTGCACTAGAGCAATGATTCTCATTTATTTGATCTATGGACCACTTACACCGAATCACAGATGAACCATGAACCACAATCTATCCTATAAATGTCATCTTAGATGTGTCATAATATTTTCTCTCTTCAGTAATTCTGATATACAAAAATCTCCTTTCTTCTCACCAAACACTTGCATTTTTGAAAACCACCTGACACGTGCTTTGCCTGGAGTGAATCATACTTTGAGAACCGTCAGCACTAGAGGATTGATTCAATTAATGCACAGTGATTCCCTATAGTGCAATTCCTGCCAGTTTAATATGTATAAAAGAATTTATAATTTGATTTAAAATTAAATTTTAATAAAGCATTGTACAAGTGTGATTTACTTTTTATTGCTAACTTACTTCATTTTAAATGCACTGTTAACTTAAATTGCAAATCCTATTAGATATTCCAAATTTAAGAAACACTCAGAATTTATAAGGCTAGTAAGAAATAGACCACAATTAGCTTGATTCTGCAGTCATGTCACATGCTTGGAGAGCATTATTTGAAGTTTTATAATTTTGTTTATCATCATTTTGCTATATTTATGTTTTTACTCACAATATTTGTGTATATAGCTGTATTTATTTATTTTATTTTGTATTTTTTCTGTTAATTATTTATTTCTATGTTTTATTTAATATATTTATGCTCTTGCACCATGTAAAATTGTAAATTTCAAATGTGCTTCCCATTCTATTTATAAATTCCATTCTTTAACCTGGCCATTGTACATAGTCAAAAACATTTATTTTCTTAATAAATTTTTTAGTTTTACTGGATTTAAGGTTTTTTTTTTTATTATTAATTTTAGCATCTTTCTGTTCTATCCTCTTGTAATGTTTATGGATTAAAATCTATAAATATTAACAACAAATTTACTAAGTTAATTTTAATTGGGAAAAAGTTCTTCTTTTGAAAATAAGTATTTATTTTCGATAAAATTTAAAAACAATTTGAAAATACTTTTCAGTGGATTTTATACCCTATTATGAAAACTAGAAAGCATTGTAATTTTTTTCCAATGTTATCATATTAATACAGTTGACTTGTCTTAAAATAAACACTGATAAAGCAAATGCTTGCATTAAAGAAATTTTGCCATTGCCCCAGCAAAACACCATTGTCATATTGTTAATTTTCACACCATAAAGTGAACAAAGATTTACCAGAATTTGTTAAATCAAATTAAATTACCTTCACAACCTCAAGAAATAACCATTTCCAATAATGATTTTATTATTCACTTCAAAGTATAAAAAACAAAATAGTATTGTAATAAATGTTCTATTTTGAGTAGAATAATTTTCTAGTAAGCAAAGATAGGTTTGGCCTCTGATTGTAGAGCAATTGTAATATTTGGTTTTAGCGGACCACTTTACTCAGAAAATAGGGGTTAAAGTTTACGGACACCCATCTGTTTAAATGGATGTAGTCCCAATGTTTTTGGCTATGTGCAAATACTTACTAGTTTGCATATCGAGGATTGCATATGGTGATTCCAGATTTGCATATTTTTCATCAAATTTGGCCCCTTTTTTACTTTTTCAAACAATCTTCAACATAAAAAAATTATGGATTTCTTTAGCTTCATTTTGTTTAATTACTCTCATATACTGTTCCACACTTGTTTAAGTGAATACCATCCCCTCTTCATTCTGTTTGATTTGAAAATCATTTAGACCATTAATTTATTTTTGTAAATAAATTTTATTATATCTTTATTAAGTAAATTAATTCAAAATATTAATCAAACTTAAATGTTGGATGTCATGCCTAACTTTTTATAAAATTAAAAATGAAACTTTTACAAAAAGACAAATACATTTAAAATTTTAAATACAGTGGTGCCTCGTACAACATACTTAATCCGTTCCAGGTGCACGTCCGTTATACGAAATGCATTTTCCCATAGAAATACATGTTAAAACATATAATTCGTTCCGCAGCATAAAATAACCGTACTGTACCAAAAAATGAAAATGGAGCAGACACCAATTATGCCGGGTAGTCAGATGTTGTGAGGAGGAGGTGGAAGAACACTTTCTTTACACATTCATACAGATACAGACTTTTTACACATTGCAGCGGGTCTTTTTTTATTGTTTTTTAATCGGAGTCAGATTCAGGAGAGGCTACCGGAACTTGCAGGGTCAACTTCTCTTGTTCCATCCTTTGTTTTTTGCCCGCTGGCTTCTTGAAAAACATGACCAAGGTGGTCTGTTTCTCTTTCTTCTTTAACACCTG